ATTATAAATGGCCCAGAACACCTATAAACTTTAGGTTTCAGGTAAATGATTGCCTTTCCTTTAACTTAGAAACCTACCAATGCTCGTCTTACTGATAAACTCTAGGTACCATGTAGGAGACTAGACACCAGACCAACCCAGCCGCAGAAGCCCCAAGGGAACCCTTCCCAGTCCTCACTCCGCTGCACTAAAATGATATCCAGGTCACTTTCTCCCACTAGACCAAGAACTCCAGCGCTCCAGGTGCGAGTCACGAGTCCCACCTCTGCCTCTCTGCTTCTAGAATGGTGCTTCTGCACTTCACAGAAAATCTGTATCAGTGTGTGTCAACACTATATATGACAGTATAACTTAATATCTGCACAGGAAACATAAATTCTTTGAGGACCAGGGCCAGGTTTATTAGCCTTTGTACTCCCACTGACACCGTCTGGGACATCAGAGGCATGCAGTAGAAGCTGGTGAAGAAAAAGAAAAGGCGGAGGAGAGGAAGGACAGCCAGGCCCCTGACACCACATACACAGCCTCTGAGCTGGCTGGAGGGGAGGCAGGTGCAGAGAAAGCTCCTGGGTGCTGGAGTGGGGTTCAATGAGATGCCTGCTGCTGGATTTCAAAGGTCAAAGATAATGCTTTGCTGACCTTGACCTCTGACTGCCCTTTAGCTTTCCCAACCTCAAGACAGGGCACTGAGAAACTGAAATGCCAAGAAATGATGCTTCATTAAAGCATGGGAATGTTATTTACATGAGAAATAACACTCATTACTTTGTTTTTTACATGGGAATGTAAATAATTGAATCGATTGTTAAAGACTAAATCACATACATTCAATAACTGTGTAAAATATTAATGATCACTGAAACACAAATTTGATGCTCCCCAATGCTAAATATAAAACAGTACTGGTCAATTAAAGACAGAAGACAACCCTAATGAAGCTGCCCAGCACACACATTAAGACTTTTCTACATTAAACATTTGGGACTTCAAAGGAAAATCCAGGTTCATTCAATACCTAAGGAGGTGATTTTTTAAAAATCTTTGGCAATACAATATTTTATTTAAAATTTACGAAATTGCATTACATTCATGATTTCATTTGATCCTCAAAACAATCTCCTGAAGTAGGCAGAACAGGTATTACTAACAACTAACCCCATTTTACAGGTAAAGGAACTAAGTTCAGAAAAGTACTTGGACTTAACAAAAGCCTTAACAGGGCCACATATCGAAGTCAAGTCCTCTGTTCAAAAGAACTAGAGTAAGTTATTTTTTACATGTTAATCACACTTATATCTTGTCAATATCCAAAAATGTATTGAGGTAGCCTGCAATAATAGACACCTATCCAATAAAAACATTAAAATGAAAAACGAAAAAACAAAAACCAGCAGGTGACATGGGAGACAGGGGAAGGTAGATACCAAAGACTTCGACTTCTAATCTAAGAAAACTATCTCCGACCTTCCAGTTCCAGGCAAATAACACTAAAGGCAACAAGATGGTTCATAGACTCCTAATCTAACAAAAGAGATGGATGGTCAGTTCTTACCTAAAACACTCCACGCAGCCACAGCAAATCTCTAGGACAGCATACCAATGACATCAAAGTAAGGAGTATACTTCAGTGAAAGAGTGAATTAAGTTCTCTGTTTGGGACCCAGGCCAGGGCTAGGGAAGACAACTCTGAAATGTAAAGTTCAAAATACAGCCTCTGTCGTCTCCAAGCAGCATTAACTAGTTAAGTTTTATTAAAACATTAATAGAATCTAGAAAACCATAAAGAAAATCTAGTTGAGTTTTGAAGCCCTCTCTTAAAATCAGATTCCCTAAAAGAACGAAGTACTTTACATATGTTTTAAATGTTATATGGAGCATATAACAAAGAACTTTTCCTAAATTAAGATAAGAATGCAAATCAAAATAAAGGCAAATCCTACTGAGTTAGGCAAAAATTGTAATTCAGTAGCTCACGGCTTGACCAAATGGCTATTTTTAATCCCTATAATCATCCAAATAACTAGGAATAGCAGAGAAAATTGTCTCCTTGCTACAGAGAAATGTGGCTTTAAGAAACTCAAGCACATCGAATTCCCACCTTACCAAACAGATCAATTGGAAAGGGGCTTAATATTTTATTTTTGATTATTTAATTCACCTTTTTATGTTTTACAGAAAGAGACTCGCTTCGTCACCCAAGCTGGAGTGCGGTGGCATGATCATAGCTCACTGCAGCCTCTAACTCCTGGGCTCAAGTGACCCTCCCGCCTCAGCCTCTCGAAGTGCTGGCATTACAGGTATAAGCCACAGCACCCGGTCTTGCTACTTTAAAGAACTAGTTACCATACTCCTTAGAATTGGAGCTTCTTTATAGGTCATTCAACATGTGGTGCAATTTTTTACACGTGGTAATTTTTTTTTTTTTTTTTTTTTTTTGAGAGGTAGTCTCTCTGTCACCCAGGCTGGAGTGCAGTGGCACGATCTCTGCTCACTGTAACCTCCGCCTCCTCGGTTCAAGCAGTTCTCCTGCCTCAGCCTCCCAAGTAGCGGGGATTACAGGCACTTGCAACCATGCCCAGCTAATCTTTTGTATTTTTAATAGAGGTGGGCTTTCACCATGTTAGCCAGGATGGTCTCCATCTCCTGGACCTCGTGATCTGCCTGCCTCGACCTCCCAAAGTGCTAGGATTACAGGCGTGAGCCACAGCGCCCAGCCACAAGTAGTGATTTTAAACTACGCTTCAAACTATTACACAAAGCCAAGTACATCTACTCAAGGCACTTTCAAAATTCCATTTACTTCCATTTTACTCTTCAAAATAAAATGTTAAAGAGATTGGAACATACTTCACATGACACTTAAAAGATCAACAAAATGCTCCTGAAAAAAAGATCTCCCCTGAACAACTCCGTTAATGAGAAAAAAACAAACCAACTGGATATAGGGAAAACGCTGCACATAAGACACAATTATGAAGAATATGCAGGACATTACCAAAAAGTTGCTTAACTCTGAGATAAAGTACATACTCCTGTAACTAAACTTGTTTAAAAGGAAAAAAGGGGAAGAAAAGGAACTTCCACTTTAGAATCCACATTTTCAAAGGTCTCCATTATTTATACCATTGCAGTTAAGAGAATTTTTCTCTGCTATATTTGCTTGAAATAATTAATGGTATAGGGCAGAAAAGACTCTTAGAAATTATGTAGTTTAAGATCCTCAAAGGTGAGAAAACTGAAGCCCAGAAGAGGTGGTCTCCNAGATCCTCAAAGGTGAGAAAACTGAAGCCCAGAAGAGGTGGTCTCCCGGGAAAATTCCAGAGGCAGACGCAGTACTTTTTTTTTTTTTTTTTTTTGAGACGGAGTCTCCTTCTATCACCCAGCTGGAGTGCAGTGGCGCCATCTCAGCTCACCGCAACCTCCGCCTCCTGGGTTCAAGTGATTCTCATGCCTCAGTCTCCTTAGTAGCAAGGATTACAGGCACGTGCCACCATGCCCGGCCAATTTTTGTATTTTTAGTAGAGATGAGGTTTCACCATGTTGACCAGGCTGGTCTCGAACTCCTAACCTCAAGTGATCCACCCACCACGACCTCTCAAGTGCTGGGATTACAGGCGTGAGCCACCGCGCCCAGCTGACCTGCTTAAGTTTTAATCAAGCGCTCTGCACTATGCAACAAACGCTAGGACGTAATCGAAAAAAAAACTAATCTAAAAACCCTCTGGAGAGTCAGAGAATTGCAGATTTAAAATAGCATGAATACTTGGATTCATGGTATTGAAAAAGGACCTCTCATTTACCCGCATGCAAACGGTGCCTGCCCACATTTATCAGAGCATTTTTCAAGCTGTGCTGCAGTTAACCATGTACTGCCCAAACCCCATCTGCTTGCAGATCATAAGCTCTTCAAGAACAGGACTTTAGGAGAACAAGCAAAGAGCTTCAGAGAGAAGGAGGCCACCTAACAGAGACCATAGCAATGGGGCGGCAGGAGCTGACGGCTGGAGAGGCGGGGTAGAGTGGGAGTCTGGGACAGGGGAGGGCAGAGAACGCAAATGATGAAGGGCTTGCTTGACAGCTAGAGGGCTAGAAGCCGCAGCTGCAGTGATGAGCTCAGCTTTGTCTCATCTGCCTGTTCCTTACACACCACCTCTTATTCAGAGAGAACTTCAGGTTGGGTATTCGTGCTCCCTGAGCCTTCTGCTGTTTGTCTCTGGGACCTTTAACACTCTTAAAAGGGGAAAACTGTCCAATTCAATTTTCCTTCCTGGGACATAACAGGTTTTTCAAAAGTTTGATCAAATCATACACTAATGAGTGAGTGATTCCTCTTCTTTGGTGGCTGAGAAATCCAGCGTCTGAGGGGCAGCATCAGGTCTTCCCATCAAGCTGAGATCGGAGTCTCCACACCCACGAACCTCACCCTAGCTCTCCCCTCATAAATCTGACCTCTAACTGTAACTGCCTTGGCCTCATTCCGTGGGTGTGGATGCTCCTGCTTCAAACGCATTTTCCAGCCCGCCAAATTCTTGGGAGAGTTTCTCCAGCTACAAAGTTCAATCTGGCTTTTCAGATTTTCTTTTTTTTTTTTTTTTTTCCTTCCCATTTCTTTTGTTAGAAATCAAGAAACGCCGGGCAGAACGGCCCTGCTCCCTCCAATCAGAGCCCAGGCGCGGGCCAGAGCAGGAAGCGCGGCGGTGGGACGCGCGGTGACAGCCCAGCGCCCCCGGGACCCCCCTCCCGGCCCGGGCAGAGGGCGGTGTGGCCACTGCGTGACAGCCCCGGGCCCGCGCCCTCGCCCACCCGCCGGGCAAGTGAGAGGATAAATCACGGCGTGGGGGCAGTACGCCCACAGCAACGGCGCCCCCCACGCACAAACCCCCAGTACACGCGCGCCCCAGGCGGGGTCGCCCCAAACGAGCCACAGGGCGGCGCGATCTCCGCTCGCAGGGCGGCCGGGAGCAACGCGCGCGGTCCACGCGCGTCCCCATAGGTGACAAAACACTCAGGAAGCCATCGTGCGGGGCCGGGAAAGAGCTCCCACGCAGTCACGGACCCCCACTCCGAGGGCCCGCGCAGTCCCCTCAGTGACGCGGGCGAAGCAGCCACGCCGTGGGGGAGGGCGGGGAGGGCGGCGGAGCCTCCCACTCGCGATGACCCGGACCCCGCCCCACGTGTGGGCTCCTCGCAGGGTCCCCTCTGCGGCACACGGGGACCAGCTACCCCGCGGAGGACCGGGCAGGAGCGCGCGCCCGGGTCCGTGCAGTCCGCTCCGCGGCAGTCGCGGGGAGCAGTGGGGACGGGCCCCCACCCACGGGGTGACGGGACCCCCGCGGGGGCCCACGCGGCGTTGCAGCAGGCGCAGAGCCCCCGGTGCCACCCGAGGCCGAGACAAAGCCAGGGCGCACGGCCCCCGGACCCGGACCCCGGACCCCGCGGAGCCCCGCTCGGAGCCGCCACGCCCGGGACAGAGACCCCGCCGCCCGCTGCGCCGTCTCACCTCAGGCCGCCGCCTCGCAGCGCTCGCTCCTCGCCGCGGCGCCTGGGCCGAATGGAGCGCGGCGGAGCAGCCGACCGAGCCGCGGCCGCCTCAACAATGGAGCCCCGGGGCGGGGCCGCAGCCTCAGCCTCAGCCTCAGCCCGTGTCCCTCGCTCGGGCTCCGGATCCGCTCGCGGAGCTGCTGCCGGCGCGAGGTTGCGGCCGGTACCGACACCGCGCAGGCGCACAGAGCCCCGCCCGCCGCCTGCCGCCCCGCCCCCAGCGGAGCCGCGCCCAGGGCCCGCCCCCCAGCCAATAGGGAGCGAGCTGCCCGGAGAGGGCGGGGCCTGGGGGAAACAAAGGGAGGCTGGGCGGGGCGGCGCTGGGGCTGGGCTTGCGGGGTTCCGCGGGAGGGCGGGACCCAGAGCTGGCCAGATCCTCGCCTCCTAGAAGGCCCAGCTCATCGTCCACTTGGTGTTGGCTTAGCAGGACGCGCTTATCTCAATCCCAGAGCTCAGGCTTTTAGGGGCGGAGAGCAAGAGACAGACTTGCTTTACAGAAAGGGAAACTGAGGCCCAATGAACAGGATTGCCTGCGGCCCGAAGTCACGTAGTCCCATCCACTGTTCATCTCTTAGTCATTCCACAAACATCTGGAAGCGTTAGGAGTGAAGTAGGGCCGGGAGTGGTGGCTCACGCTTGTGATCCCAGCACTTTCGGAGGCCAAGGCAGGTGGATCACTTGAGGTCAGGAGTTCGAGACCAGCCTGGCCAAGATGGTGAAACCCCGTCTCTACTAAAAATACAAAAACTTAGCCGAGCTTGGTGGTGCGTGCCTGTAGACCCAGCTACTGGCTACTCGGGAGGCTGACACAGGAGAATCGCTGGAACCCGAGCGGCAGAGATTGCAGTGAGCTGAGATCATGCCACTGCATGCACTCCAGCCTGGGTGACAGAGTGAGACTCTGTCTCCAGAAAAAAAGGAGTGATGTAGAACCAAACTGAGGCCCTCCCTGAAGGAGTTCAGACAAGGAGGATCTGAGATGTCTGTGTCTCTTTAACGCCTAGTAAAGGCGGCAGGAGCCAGGGCTAATCACTTCCCTTTCCTGCCTCACAGCTTTTGTGTGTTTGCTGTTCCCCACCTGAAATGCCAAGTACCAATGGTATTCATTTATTTATAGAAATGGGGCCTCCCTATGTTGCCTAGGTTAGTCTCAAACTCCTGGCCTCAAGCTATCCTCTTCTCTCAGCCTCCCAAAGTGCCGGGATTACAGACAGGAACCACTGTCCCAAGCCCTGATCATCTTTAAAACCTCTTTCCTCATCTTATTTGAGCTTCCTGCATCATGTGACCCCACATACTCAGTTTTTCTCTCCCTCCATAGCTGCTCCTCTGTGGATCTCAGGGACCACCCCCTTCTCTCCCCAACCTGTACATGTCTTGGCTCAGGCCAAATGCCCTTCCATTCGCAGTGGGCATTGCTTCAGGAAATCTCATACCCTTCTGGGCGTCACAGATCATCCACATGCTCTGCCGTCTGCCAGAGATGTCCATCTAGGTCAGATGCCCAGCCCTGACCGCTCCCAAAGCCCCAGTTGGACACCAGAAGGCATCTCAAATTTTCTGCGCGTCAAAACAGAGTGCTTTATCAGCGCCCCGCCCTTTTATCAGCGCCCCGCCCTTCATCCACATTCTTGCAATTCTTAGTAAACAGCCCCTCCATTCACCCAGCTGCTTGGGTGAAAATCTCAAATCCTCCTCCAGTCCTTCTTCCCGCACCCCTCACTCCCAGCGCTAGCTGAGGTGCTGTCCGAGTGGCTGCCTCCCATTCAGCATGAAGTGTGACCCCTTGCCAATGAAGTGTGACCTTTTGCCCTGGTAATGGCTCTGGCTATAATCCCAGACTTTGGGAGGCTGAGGAGGACAGATCGCTCCAGGCCAGCAGTCTGAGACGAGGCTGACCAACATGGTGAAACTAAAATAACAACAATTAGCCGGGCATGGTGGCATGTGCCTGTAATCCCAGCTACCCAGGAGGCTGAGGCAAGAGAATTGCTTGAACCTGGGAGGCGGAGGTTGCAGTGAGCCTGGGTCACACCACTGTACTTTAGCCTGGGCAACAGAGAGACTCTGTCTCAAATTTAAAAATAAAATAAATAAATGAAGTGTGACCTCTCTAAGGCAAGGCAGTGTCCCACTCTGATTGACTTCTGTGTGCAAAACAGGACCTGTGCCCTGAAGGCACTCACTTAGGGATGCTGCTGGGATGGTGGACGCACAGGGAAGATGTTGATGGTGGCTGGGGCAGACCCCATGCCCTTCTCCCTTCCCACGCACACCTGCACACTAACTCACAGGCACACTCGCACCCGCCACTGAAAGCCTGGCCTCTGATCTGATTTCCCTAACAAGGTCCCCCATGAACATCAGCTGCTTCCCTACCTCTCCCCAGCCAGGGCCCCACTGTGTTCTGCGATGTACTCAGGGATCAGGAGAACAAAGCCTCAGGGAGGGAAAGGACAGTCATTCCGGGGTACAGGCCTCTGCGTCCCCTTCCATGCCTTCACCCCTGCCTGACACACCCTCGGCCCTGTACTTGGCCAGCTCCTGCCAACCCTTGAAGTCTTGAAAAGTTCAATGGTGGCAGCCACACCCTAAAGGGACTGACCCCTCCCCACCCCATGACCGATGACCTCTGCCCTTGCATAATCTTCCTGACCTTGGGTACAAGCAGAACTGCTGACTGGTTTCTAACCCATAGAGCCTGGCGAAAGCAATGGGATGTCACTTTAAAGGGCACATCACGTTCGCAGACCAGAGAGAGGGGTTCCACCTGCAAGCTCTGTGGGAGAGAGACACCTTTGGAGGGGTCCTGTAGGCAAGGAAGCAAAAAGCTGGGCCCTTGCCAAGCGGGTCCAAGGAAATGACTTCTGCCAGTAACCTCCACGGACCTGGAAATGGATTCTTCCCTGGTGGAGCCTCAGGTGAGGATGCAGCCCAGCTGCTTACAGTGAGACCCTTAACATGTGCTCAGCTCCTAACTTGCCAAAATTGGGTTGAATGTGAGTGTTGTCTTAAGCTTCTAAGTGTTTAGTTATTGCCTATGAAAGTGTTAGAATCTAAGACAATAACTTAGGTCCCTTCCCCTCGCTCACTTTCTTCTTTCTTGCTTTCACCACAATTATTTATTTAACATCTGTCTCTTGACTGGGCGCAGTGTCTCACGCCTGCAATCCCAGCACTTTGGGAGGCTGAGGTGGGCAGATCACCTGAGGTCAGGAGTTCGAGACCAGCCTGGCCAACATGGAGAAACTCCATCTCTACTAAAAATACAAAAATTAGCTGGGCGTGGTGGCACTCGCCCGTAATTCCAGCTGCTCAGGAGGCTGAGGCAGGAGAATTGCTTGAACTGGGGGAGGTGGAGGTTGCAGACAGCCGAGATCACACCATGGCACTCCAGCCTGGGCGACAAGAACAAAACTCTGTCTCAAAAAAAAAAAAGAAAAAGAAAAAGTTGTCTCTTGCCACTAGTGTGAAGGCCCCACGAGAAGGGAAGTGGAAACTCTTGCTCATAACTGTGCTTCAAATGCCCAGCACGGTGCAGTGCTAGTACAACTGGTTGGTGGCACACGCTGCCGGTTGGAGGAACCAGCAGGCCCTCCCGGCTGCCTTCTCCCTGTCACGTTCTATTATAGAAAACAGAATAGCTTCTTGCCTTTCCAGAATCCCTCTTAGTGGGGAGTAGCCAAGTGACTTTGTCCTAGCCAGGGAGACATAAGTGGAAGTTGGCTGAAAGGTTTCTAGCTGTGGTGTGCTGGAACGATTTAAGCCAGACGATGAGAGTGACCATCCATTGTTCGGGAATTCTGCAAGTTAGTTGTTCACATTCAGTACTTAAAAATGTTAAATTATATAAACTCACAAATTAAAAAATGCAGTAGACCAGGTGCAGTGGCCCACGCCTGTGATCCCAACACATCGGAAGGCTAAGGCAGGAAGATCAGGAAGGGCAGGAAGATCGCTTGAGCCTGGGAGTTCAAGACCAGCCTATGTCTTGAACAAAAAGCAAGACCCTGTCTCTACCAAAAATTTTAAAATTAGCTAGGTGTGGTGGTGTGTGCCTGCAGTCCTAGCCACTCAGGGCTGAGGTGGGAGGATCACTTGAGCCCATCTGTTCAAGGCTGCAATGAGCTATCATAGTGCCACTGCACTCCAGCCTGGGTGACAGAGTGAGGCCCTGGCTCAGAAAGAAAGAAGCATGTTTTATATATTAATAAATATATAATTAATATAGTATGTGTTTTTATATAAATATACAATTAATGTATTATATATTTGTACATAAATATATAGATTATAAATGGATTATATAAATATATAATACATTTCTGTATTATAATCATATATTTATATATTATATGCATTAATTTTATATAATTATATGTAAATATATATAAAACAAAGATGATAAATCATCAAAATGCCTTATGTCGTGATTATTTCACTCTTACCTGTGTTCTTAAAGATTTGCACGGACCACGTCAGGAGGTGGAAACCCTAAATCATGGTGTGCCACTGACTTCTCTTCCCAGCTCCATAGTCAGCAATGTCGTGGTGGTAGTCTGAAATCAGACATAGTGGGAGAATTTACACAGAATTTGACAATGGTTAAAAATCAGGACCTTCCCTCTTCCACTTCTCCCCCAGAATGCCAGCACGCCCCAGATTTCAAGGGACGTTTTTGCTGTCTTGGAAAAGGAAAAGACACAGCGGATGCTGTCTTTTCTTCAGCAGCAGGTTCGTGATCACTAACACGGATGTGACATCTGCAGCTATCGTGGCCCTTGTGCGGCCATCTCAGGCACTGCAGGCAAAGGAATCAGAGATTCTGAACCTTGCACTATTGACTCAGTGCAGCAACCACCTACCCCCAAATTCTCAGCTAGGTAGAAAAAACAAATCCCTTTTCATCTAAGCCTCTGGTCATCAATTCTACACTTACAGGATTCTGTAACTGAAGCATGTAGAATTAATATTTGTTGAATTAGTAAATCAGTAAACTCAGCCTGATTCTTGAACACGTACTTGGAACCTCTCGCCACATTCCTGCGGAGACATCCAGGCTGTGCCTCTGCTAGCAAGAAGCCACCATCCCAATGAACCCGTCCAGGCATACTACAGCTCCGATTAGCAGGAAGCTTTTCCCCTTATGAAACTGACATTTTCTTTTATTTATTTGTTTTATTTTTATTTTTTTTTGAGAAAAGGCTTCATGCTGTCACTCAGGATGGTGTGCAGTGGCATGAATACAGCTCGCTGCAGCCTTGATCTCCCAGGCTCAAGTGATATTTCTACTTTAGCATCCTGAGTAGCTGGGACTACAGGTGCATGCCGCCAAGCCTGGCTAATTTTTTTATTTTTATTTTTTGTAGAGATGGGGTCTTGTCATGT